TTTTACACATATCGTGTTTAAAACAACAACCCTATAGGATAAATTCTCTTACCCCTACTGTTTGGTGATCTTATTAATTTATCTTTTAAAGATTAACAAAAGACATATTCAAAGTCTAAAGCTCAAAGAATTTAAACAACTTGCCCAGAGTCTCAGGGCTTTAGTAACAGAGCTAGGATTTAAACTCAGGTCAAACTCACAAATTCAATAAATATCAGTTCTCCTGAGCTAGGGAGAGTACAGAAATGGCAATTTGTATCATTAAAGGGATCAAAGGTAGGTTTTTATGGGCAGAAGTTGAAGAACTTAATTGCTTAGCTTAAATGGAAGTTTAACTACCAGTTTTAAAATGTGGACATTCTCTAAGGAGTTTGTTAAATGATTATTATCTGTGCCCATTAAAAAAAAGGGAAAAAAACTACTTAAAAATTAGAAGTAGTATGTGTTTTGTAGGATGTAAGGAAGAATTTTTCTAGGTCAATCTCATTAATAGGGCCTATTGTTTGCAAGGTACTTTTCTAAGAGCTGAGGATCTCAAATGAATACACTAAAATCTCATGATCCGGAGAATACGCCAGAAGATGCTAGGTGCTCGATATATGTTAGATTGCTCAATAATTAGATAAAATGTGGTAATGACTTGCAAGGAAGATGATCACATAGATTTGAAACTATTCAAATGAACAAAGCAAATAGCCTTTAAAAGAAGCTAGAATATACAGAAAACCACCAAACTAGGCAACTTAAACTGGTGATTCCTAACCCTTTGAGAACGGTAACACCCCAACAATTTTTCATTTTGCAATGATCCTTCCTCAAGAAGCTATATGTCCACAGCGAATTCCTTCAACCAATCTTTAATACATGATTACTCTATTCAAGACACCACTAAAGTATCAAAATGCTCTGACCATCTAAAACCAACTTTTCATTCATTCTTTGGTTACACAGCTTCTATATAGGTGATCATATCTGGGTTATTTCAAAATGAATCTTGAATCATGAAATTATAGAGGTGGCTAGAACCCTCCAAATTTATAAAGTACAGGCTTCTTTCTTCATTCAGTGAATCTTTTGCTAAACTAGAAATTTCTAACAGGAATTTTGGAGTAACCCAGGCTGACTGTAGTTGTATTCATTATTTCAAGAGTTTTCATAAAATAGTAAAGATTTTCATTCATATATTTTATTTATATGTATACATGTAAACATATCCATGCTTATTTGTTTTGTCATCTCTCTGTTTTAAAAGTGTGATAGGGCCGGCTGAGTGGCACGTTGGTTAAGAGCTGGCTTGGGACGCCAGCTCTGAGCAGCAGGGCCCCGGTTCGGATCCCATATGAGGGCCAGTGTCACTGCGCCCTCTACAGATAAAATGGTGAACAACAGCTCGACCTGGAGCTGGGCTGCTGTGAGTCACCGGCAATGGTGTAGGCTGCAGCCCCTGCTGCAGTGGGCTGCCATAAGCTACTGTGAGTGGCCGGCAGCCAGCATGAGTGGCTGGAAGCCGG